TTTTTTTTTTTTTTTTAAATATTTATTTTTCTGTGTTTACGAGCTTTTTGGAGAAGTGGTGGCTCAAGCTGTTGGTACAAGTAAATGGATTATAGCTGTGGATGGGTAGTCTGGAAAATGACATTGCTGAAATAGAATGGACGGGACACAGACACAGACTAGTTTGATGAGTTCGATGTGCGTACTTGGGATATACGTTGTCGGATTCTCTGCCGACGTCTTGTTTATGATCAGGGTGGACTTTTGGAGCGTGAATTTGAAATGTAATCAACGCATTTTGATGAAAAACCCGAAACGATTTAAAATTTCCGTTCCAAATTCGCTTTCTGAAGCCGCGATGTTTTCATCTGCTTAAAGTGTATCTTGTAGTGGTACTGAACTGTTTGCAGCATGACCCTTTGCACATTTTGCGACTTTCGGCTGATGCGAATGCAAAAGCGTGCGCATTGGAGTGGAATCCGCAAGTGGATGGTACATTTGCTGCCGCTACATCTGATGGCATGCTATCCTGCTATTCCTTTGATATTGAAGTAAGCATGAATTACATTGTGTTTTGATTTTTTAGGTGAGTCTACATTAATTTTTTGTATTTGTGCTGTGATAGGTTGAGTTTGCGCTCAAAAGGAATTTGGAATTCATTATTCGTGAAACCATTCCTTTATAATCCGTTTCACTCATTTCGTTGGTAAAATGGTACTGGTTTCTTTCGCATGAAGCAAAACCGCTTGCAGCTTGTTTTGATTATGGCTTGCAAATGTAAGCACATATCGAGAGGTCCACTCCGTTCCGTCTACAGCAGCCAAATTTTTAAGTTTTTATGGCTTTTCGCAGTGTAACAGCAGCACAAAACGCCTGTTGTCACGCACTTTTTTATTTTTGCGTGTCCGTGTTTGTTTCCGTGTCCGTACCGGAGTACTTTTTGTCCCGCATTTTCAACTCTCGGATCACAAAAGCTAGAAAGCTGAAATTTCAGGGGAATCTCTCCCGCCCGCCCACGACCCCGCAAATTTAAATCCAGCCTTTGCATACGCCTAGTTACCGTGTGCAGTCCCGTGAGAGATTTGGCGGGAAAAGGAAGCCAGAAAATTGGGAAGCCAGGAAATTAGGGAATTACTAATTAGAAAGCCAAAAAATTAAGAAGCTAAAATTTTGCAAAGATTTTCTCGGCTCATGTACGATCTAATTGCTTCAGATTCGGCTTTCACGCATCGGTACGATTGGGGAATTTTGCAGCGTAGGAACCAGATAATTTGTCGACTGTTTCTGCGTACACCAAAGTGTAAAACAGTAAATGTCCGGTAGGCGGGACTGCATAAAACACTTGATGTCCTGGTGTGCGTCGCTGTTTATTATTTTTTCTTTTGCCGACCTGTGCGCGTTTATTTAATTTGCCTTACATCCCAAGCTTCATTTATTTCGTGTATGTTATGCTTTATAACCTTCGTTGCATTGTCGCTTGTTATGCAGGCTGACATTGGCTTGTAGTAAACTTATAGTACGATGTCTTCCCGGCATGCTTGGGCTACGAGGCTTGTATTTCGAAGACATTTAATCAAATACCACTTTCGTACTGTGATGAGATGGTGCCTGGATTCGAAATTTTGTGGGAAAAGTGTTTTTACTGCAGCATAATTTGTATGGCTGTTTCTAGGATTCGTCATCGATTACAGTAATTGGCAGTGTGAGGTACGACGGTAACAATGTAACGTGTATAGGCTGGAGCCCCAAAGGGAAACAGCTGGTGGTCGGAGATTCATCGGGTTACATAAAGCAGTATAAGCCAGAACTGACACTAGTTCGAACCGTGCCGCCTCCAACCAGTATGATTTTGCGTGAAGGTTATCATTCACTTTGTTTTACAAGTGTTCTGATGATTTGATTTTTGTAATTGATGAAGCTGCTTGTGCTTCTTCCTTAGAATGTGTTTGACTTTTCTGTGTTCGCTTAGTTGATCGTTTTTATGCGTTTTTTTTTTTTTGCATATTTACAGTGCAAAAATACAAATTGTCGAGAGTTTGTCTGTATATATATATGTACACATACATATATATATATATATATATATATGTGTGTGTGTGTGTGATTATTTCTGTGTATGCGTTAGTGCCAGTTTTTTATCTGGAGATCTGCAAAAACTACAAGGCTGAAAATCTGGGAACTTAGTCTGCACCTATGTACGAGTCCTTAAGCGCAAAACACGTGAAAGATTTTTTGGCGGGAAAGCAATTTCGGAAAATACGCAAGCTAGCAGGCTAGAACTTTGCCAAGATGTTTCTTGCTCACATATGACCCAAATAATTCAATTTCAGCCCTCACACAAGTCTGGATTTCATGTAACTACACTTCAAAGTTTAAATTTGCGTTAAGTGAACTCGAAGTTAGGCTAGGTGGATAGCTGCAGAGAGCTGTAATTTTGCGACTTTGTTTGTCACATACTGATGTGCTCTTGACATTAAGCTGAGCTTACCAGCCCCTCCGTATCTGATGTGAAATTTGGCGTTGACAATTTTGTAAATTCGGAACTAAAGTAGCTATAGGGCTGAAACTTTCTAAGCATGGTGGATGGTCAAGTTTAGGCGAATGAATGCAAAGATAACTTTCACGTTCCTTTCGTGTCTCGTGTAAGCCCGCGTACGAACACATGAAATCTGTTGTAACTTCGAAACCGCAGCAAAATTTCCCAGGCATAGCCTAGGACCGTGTTTGGGTAAAGATACTTAAAAACAACATTCAGTTTTCCCCTCACTTACGATCACGTGGAATTTGACGCAACCCCGCAACCAAGACAGCCATAGTGCTCAAATTTCCTTAGCATCGCCCACAATCATGTTTGAACAATTGCACTTAAAAAGAACACGTTTCTCCCTAACGTACGAACACGTGGAATTTAGCGTAACCACGCAAATAGGGTGGCTGCAGTGCCAAAATTTTCAGAGCATGACCCACGATTGTCTTTGATCAGGTGGCCTCAAAGAAACTTTCACATTTCCCATGCACAAGCGCGAGAAGTAACCACGCAACTAAGGCAGCGAGAGTGCTGAAATTTCTTGAGCATGGCCCCTGAGTGTGTTTGTGTAGATGCACTTAAGAATAAACTTCCCGGTTCGTCTCACGTATGAACACGTGAAATTTGATGTAATTCCGCAACCGAAGCAGTTAGGGTGCCGAAATTGTCTGAACGTGACTCAGGACCATGTTTGGCACGGCATCCACGTTTCCCTTCATGTGCGAACACCTGAAAAGTGGCACAGCTGCGCAACCAAAACAGTTGGACTACTGAATTTTTGAGTATGGCCATGACGATATTTATTGGAAATCACTGTAATAATTTCCGACATGTGTTGACCAATTTCAATTCTTTTAGCCAGAAGCATCTGCAGGAAAAAACTGCGCTGCTAGCCATAATAAATAGCAGCGCGCACCAGGCTAGCCGGTGCGATCATGCGTTTTATGCAATTTAGCCCATCGAACGATTGCCTATTAATGATTTTCACTGCTTTGTAGTTTAGCCTGTGCAAAAATAGTTGAAACATTGAAAAATAGTTAGAAATTTTACGCACCTGCGCATGAAGGCTGAATTTGGAACGTTGAAGGGTGAGCATCTTTCCGTGATTCCCGAGTTAATAGTTTACCCACCAAAATTTCCATAAGACAGGAGGTGATACTCAAGAGCGCGGGAACACTGAATTTGAATAGGCAAGGTTGAGCGTGGGCAGGGGGTCATTACCCAAAAATTTCAGCCTCTTAGACTCCGTAGTTCCCGAGATATTAATTCACCCGTAAAAAACTTTCACAAGGCCATACGTGTTACCCGCGGGTACGGAGAAGCTGAATTTAAATTTGCGGGATCACACGTGGGTGGGGAACGTTCCCCTAATTTTTCAGCTTCCCTAGCTTTTGTGGTTCCCGAGTTGGAAGTTGCGGACAAGTTGTTGCGGACACACACACACACACGCGAACACACAGACAACCCCGTGGCAATATGTGTTTTGTACTGCTGCTACACAGCACAAAACGCATAAAAACCGGCGGGGAACTGTGCAAAAAATGCTTCACATCGGCAGACGTACGCTACCGGCTAGGTCATCACTCTTTTCGACATTGGCAAACAGTGCTTCTCCTAGACTTGATGAGTTGACTCAACCGCACTGTTAAAAAAGCCGTTGGTTCGTTTTGATAAATGGGTTGATGCAAACAACTGGCAGGATGAGTAGACGCCATCATTTTATTTCTAATCAGACCTTGAAAGAGAGAAGGGTCGACACTTGCCAGCGGATAGCTTCTCATGCTACCTCCAAGTGCGTCTTTTGTTTCTGGGTGTTGCCGGAGTGAGAGCTGTGACAAATTGTGTATTTATTTATCAGCAGTTGCAGACGATGCCACGGCAGATGCGCAACAATGTGTTGGAATAAGTTGGCTTGCAACTACCGATTTTCTCGTTGCTTATGGGCCACAGTCTGGTCGAAGCCGAAGCATGAATGTCGCTTTGTTGTGTGTGAAAAAGGGCGCATCGCCGCGTTGGACGTCTTTTGAAGATACTTGTTTCTGCAGCGGAAAAAGCAATTTTGATGAAAAAGTCAATTTTACACAGCTGCTTGATTGGAATTTGGTGCTTTGTTCATCATACCGTTCAAGCGAGGTAAACATTTTTCTCCTTTTTGAAGAAGGTGATTTCGTTCATTTATCTTTTATCTACATAAAGACATCACTCATTTTTTCTCCTCATTCTGAGAAAATCAAAGTAACAAGCCCGGAATGATCACTTGACTGACGCCAATTAATATAGCTGCGTTGGCCGTGCAAGGGGTGTGCATGTACTGTGGTCGTGGCTCAAGGAGGAAGAGAGCCAGCAGTAAGACACAATGCTTCGTTGCTGCAACAGGTGGACATCGCGGATCAGCTGGTGGTGAGGCCCTATAGAAAGAACGAGTTGGTTTCTGAAGAAATGGGGTGTGCTTGTTAGTTTCGTTGGTTGCTAACTGATGCCTGTAACTCAAGACGGGAAGTTCGTTAAAGCTTCTTTTATTGTATGAGTAAATCGAATTGCGCAAGCTGTTTTCTGACTGGTCTGAGTAACCTGCAAGCCAAGAACGGATTTTTGCCACTGTCCAACATTAAAGAATAAAAAATATGGAGGACAACGCACATATTCTTTACAGTTATCCCGCATTCGATCATTCTTGACAGTCCTGTGCTCATGTCTAAATCTCCTTTGTTTGTGGCGTTCGCAGTGTTGGCAAAAAATCGAAACAACAGCACTGAACGGAACGTGGCCGAGGCGAATTAGTCGCTAGATGATGATAAGAAATGACAGTAATAATAATAAGTTGCAAGCGCATCAACTGCCGCTGCGAAGATGCGTTTTTTGCATAGTTCCCTTTAGGCTTCTGCCGCTAACAGCGCTTTTTTTGGCTGAAAGAATTGCGACAGGCCGCCAGGTCTGTCAGGAAACATCCCCTTAAAACTTAACACTCTAGTTTTCCTGGTTCTGAAGTTGGCAACTTACCCCGCAAAAAATTTTGGCTGGTCCGTACGACCATGTGCACCGGGGACTGGATTGGAACTCATTAAAAGCTGCATGGGTCGGGAACATCCCCTTAAAATTCCAGTCTTCTAGTTTTTCAGATTCCGGAGTTAGCAACTTGCCCACAAAAAAATTTCACCGGCCTGCACTTGGTAACCACATATACTTGAGTGGAGAGCGGGAAGCTGGTTGGACCTCATTAAGACCTACATGGTTAGGGAACATCCCCTTAAAATTTCAGTTTTCTAGCTTTTCTGGTTCTCGACTTAGCAGCTTACCTGCCAAAGACTTTGGCGGGTAAGAGTACCTATTTTAGAGATTGGGGCCCATATGTGCATGTAGATTAAGTTCCCAAAGTTTCAACCCTGTACCTTTTCTAAGTTTCGAAATGAAAAATCGGTATATATGCGATACACTGGGCCAGCTTGAATGCTCACACTGCCGTATAAGTCGTTGTAATCATCCAGCAAAGGTTTTGTTCTTGCTTCAAAGCACCAGCATTCTCAGCTTATTTAGATAGTAGTGCTGGGTAAAATTGGTGTTGACTGGAAAGTATGGTATTTGGATGATAGTGGACGAATTGAAATGCCACTTGATGGAGCTCACTGTGAAAGCTTTCCGCTTGGTGTCTGTATCGATACGTCGTCAACATTTCCAGTTAAACTTGGTAAAATTTCATACAAATTTTTAGTTGGTTATATTTTTCGACGAATCGGCTGTTTTTTTCTTAAATCATATATCAGCGCGATTAGCGTGTGCCACTCTTTTCTGAACACGTTTAATCCCTAATTTGACCTCATTCGCTTCCTGAATTACTCCAGTTCTACATATGCCCCCTTACAACTAGATCCCTGGTTTCATTTTTATGCGTTTTTGCCGTGCAGCGTTAGAGCGCTGCAACAGGCAGCAAAAACGTATATTGCAACGACCCTGTCAGTGTGTGTGTATGTTTGTGT